CTTCTAACCCGGGTCTCGGTTGAACCGTCTAACCCGGGTCTCTGTTGAACCGTCTAACCGGGTCTCTGTTGAACCGTCTAACCCGGGTCTCTGTTGAACCGTCTAACCGGGTCTCTGTTGAACCGTCTAACCCGGGTCTCTGTTGAACCGTCTAACCCTGGTCTCTGTTGAACCGTCTAACCCGGGTGCTGACCCTGAACCGCGGCGCTGACAGGACCGCTGAACTGACCCTCAACCACTGGGCTCAGTTGAACCCGAGTGTTTGAGGATAAGGCCGGTGCTCCAAGTCCCAGTCGTCTGGACCCCATTATAGTTTAGGGTGTGAATACTTTCCCCTGTTAGGGAAGGGGGCCATCTAATGGAGTCTCACCCAGCGGTGCTGATAGAACCGGTTCTCCTCTGACCCGGCATGTGGTTCTGTGTCCTGTAGGTGCGGCTCCGTGTGCTGCCCGGTACCGAGCAGGCCCTACTGTATAACTTCTACCCGCTGATGGCGGGCTACCAGACGCTGCCACAGCTCAGCCTCAGCCTGCCGCACTGCCCCACCGCCAGCGGCACCGCGCTCAGACGCTTCCTGCCACAGCGCATCTTCGTTAAGGTGAGTCTGGGTGCTGCCGGTTCTGACCACAGAGCGCCGCCTCTCTGACCAGAACCTTCCACTTTGTGTTCAGCCTCAGGGTCGGCAGGCGGACGACGCCTCCATCGCTGCAGCCTGAGGAACATCCCTGACACGGAGGACTCGGTCAGTAACACTATCCATCACCATGTTGGACCCAGCAGCAGCGCCGTGGTTCTGGAAGGACCGGAACCGGATGAGGGACGCCGGTCCTGAAGTCAGCTGCCTGTTTGATGTTTGCATGTCAGCTGTGAACATGTCATGGAGGAGAGAATAAATATTTAACATCCATGTTTGATAAGCGCGTCTGTTTCTGATTGGCTCCTCTGGTTCTGCTCAGCTTCTGCTCAAGCCGCTGAATCCTCTTTGGACCTGAGCTCTGATGTTCTGCCCTGGATGTCCTGATCAGATGTCCTGCTCCCAATGTTCTGATCTGATTGTTCTGATCCGACGTCCTGCTCCAATGTTCTGATCTGATTGTTCTGATCCGACGTCCTGCTCCAATGTTCTGATCCCGATGTTCTGATGCGGATGTTCTGATCTGATTGTTCTGCTCCTATTTTCTGATCCGATGTCCTGCTACCGATGTCTTGATCCGACGTCCTGCTCCCGATGTTCTGATCTGATTGTTCTGGTCCTATTTTCTGATCCGATGTCCTGCTCCCGATGTTCTGATCTGATTGTTCTGGTCCAATGTTCCGCTCCAGGGTTTGATCCATGCAAAGATCTTCTGCTTTGAACGTTTAGAGATTCCAGGGTTCTGTGGTTTGACACTGAGTCGCCTTTGGATTCAGTGGTTATTCGCATAAATAAACACTTATGCAGTGTTTATTTTGGTTTTTATTTTTATAAAGCACTTGGTATGATATAAATGTTAAAACAATGAGAATGCAGTGTAGTATAGTATAAACATATAAATAAAGAAAAATATAAACTTATAAAGAAACCCTCCATCAGAGATGTTGGTGGAAGTAGTAAAAATGAAGCGTTTGATCTTCTTGGCCGCTAGAGGTCGCTCTTACTGTGCAGTTCTCCTGATTCAAACTATCGCGATACATCACGGGAAGAGGATTCAAACCAGGGCGGGTTAACGGTGGACAGCTTCGTCAGAAAGGTGGAGTATTGTTGGAATTATTTTATTCATATAAGTAATACGTTTTCATAAATGTTTAGTAGACTGCGATGCGGAAGTGAGATATTAGAGCCGCTTTCTGTCAAACAAAAGGAAGTTGAGCGAATATCAACGTAAACGGATTCGGTGTTTGACGTTGATCGGTTGGTTTGTCCGCCATGGCGGCTCCCCAGCCATCCGTTTCCCCAGCTCTGCTCACAGGGACACCGGCTGTGCTGCTCCCGGTGTCAGAGACTAACTGGTGGCCAGTTTAACTGGTTAGAATCTAGCCGGACCGCAGTTGATCCTAAAGCTTGGGTGGCTTTGGTGATGCCTGATGAAAACAATATTCCTAACGTAACAAACTGTTGGCAAATAACCAACCAGACATTTCTAACGGATGAATGTGGATGTTTTTGTTTTTAGAAAGATGCACTAATTAACTTGTATCAACAGAAAAGCAGTTGCAACTGAGTGCAAATAATCCCAGATAATGAACAGAGTCTTTCACAAGTGCAGAAATAAAAACAGTCTGTGTGACATGGAGGGTCATTCCTATCGCTATAAATCAAACCTACAGACCCCCCTCTGCATAAATCCCTGAATGTAAATATAAATCCATGAAAGAGGCCGATCATCCAGAAGGTCTGGCTGCAAACAGAGCAGCTGCTCCTAATCCTTCCCTCCAGTCCAAAAAGGAACATTAAAAACAATCCACTGGACTTTGAAAACGTTCCGCTTCCCATCCAGGAAACTTTTTCAATTAAAAATTCCAACTATTCCCACCTTTATTTTTCAAATGGTGACAGAAAGTTATTTTTTTGTTTTTAAATTCCAGGCTCTCACTTTTCCTTCACTTTCCTGTCTGGACACAGATCCCAGTCTCTAGGAAGGTGGTGCTTTCAGGGGTCTGTCCTGTATGATGAGCTGCTTCAGGTCTCACTAACGTGTTCAGTCTGGATGTTATTTCCAGGTCTGAGGCCATAACAGGCTGCTGCTGAACTGCTTTTACTGCCCTCTATGCACTATAAGGGGGACATGTATTTTATCACCTGCCTGCTTATAAGGAAAGGTTATTTTTATTTATTTACAGTAGAATTTATATCCCAGAGTTAGCAGCCATGGTGTGTTTATCACACCATGGCTGGTCTAAGGTCCTGGTCTAAGGTCTATCAACACGCGTCTGTCTGTGGAAAGTGTTTAATATTAGGAGGAAGTGAAGTTTGGGGATGAAATAAAGGCGTCAGCAGCATCTGAAGGCCTCCCAGTCTGCAGAGGGACTGGAAAACCCTCCATCACCTGGGACGCTGCCATGATGCTGATCATTAAATTAGGGTTGTAGTTCTTTAAATGTGGAATTATTATTGTTGGTGTTTTCTCCATGTGGCATTAATGACCCTGCCATGATGTGTAGCCATGTTTTATTACGTCAGCTGTCATTTCTTAGTCCCTTCTGTTTGTCATTTTATTGTTTGCATGCAGAACAACTTTAAGTCATTCACATTTTTAAAGTCACCGGTAACTGAGTATTATTTGATTTACTTTTTACTGAGTCTTTACTCTTTGTTTTACTGGCACAATCAGAGAGACCAATTAGAAACTCATCACAAAACACTAATGGTGAAGAAATGTTTGCCTTTTCAGACTCAGGAGATAACATTATCTCACCGACTCTGAAAAATCTGATTGAGCTGCTGATTCAAACCTCAGTCATTGTTTGATTTCACCTGTGAACTGTTTCTGTTACCTGGATCAACTGCTGCCAGTTAATGTTTCAGGATCCGCTGATCGTTCAAATCATCTTTTACGCTTCACAATATTAGACATTATTACTATTTTTTTTCCTTATTTACCCTTCCAACTTAGCTTTCCTCTGCGTGATGGTAAAACAACTTTAATGCGATCATCGAGTGCAAATTTTCATGGCAGGATTTAAGCCGTTTTATTTAATTCATTGAGAGTTTAGTTTCTCCCACGTGCTTTGAAAGCATCAGTCACTCTTCCTCCAGAAAGCGTTCTGGCATACACAACAATGAGCATGTGCGTTTACTTACAGCGTAACTATGGCGACAGCTGAAAGCCAAATAAGTCTAAGGTGGAGCCAGAAAAGCTGCTTCCCACCTGAAAACAATATGGCGGTGATCTGGATTTGACAAGAATGACGTCCAACGAAATGCGGCCATTTGCAAAACATGCAGGCAAACCAGACGTTAGCAATAATCCCAGATTCCTCCACCTAAAGAAGTCATGGGCTGAAAAATGAAGACTTGTTAAAGATTCTTTTTATTTCAGAGCTTTTCTTTTGGCCGCTGGGATGTGCTGTTTTTAATAACCACCAAACTGCTCTCATGTTTCAACATTCTCATTCCTGAATAACCTCCATGTCCAGCTGATGGTTAAAAATCTAATCAGAGATTTTAAATTCATTTTATTTAATGACATTAATTTGACATAAAGCTGAGTGACTGAGAGGACTGAGACATAAAGGAAAGATGAAATAAAAAAGGGAGGGAGGGATGCGTCTGAGCAGGAAGTAGAAGATGGATCTCCTCCTCTGTCTCCCATCATGACGTCCAGCCCTCGCCGCTGCGGTGGCCCCGATGCAGCCGATCAGCAGGCAGAGCTTCAGTCCTCTGTTTGACCATTCACTGATGGTTTATGAATGGGGCGGAGCTAAACTGGAAGGTTTTAAACTAAAGCATCAGAAATGACAGGAGAGAGAGGAGGTGATAATCTGTCTGCGGAATCACTTCCTGTTCCTGTCAGATGGCAGCGGAGGACGAGCTGCAGCTGCTGAGGAGCCAGCTGAAGAAGAGCGAGGAGCAGGCCCGGCAGGCCGCTCAGGCCGGCCTGGACCTCCTCAGGCAGGTGGACGAGCTGCAGGAGCGCCTGGACGAGCAGAGGGTGGAGATGACCAACGCGCTGGAGGTGAGCAGCCCACAGACGCCGCCTCCACGCCGAAGCAACATAGACCTGCAGCTACTAGATCTGAGTCTCTGTGTTCCGTAGGCTCTGGAGCAGGACAAGTACTCCCTTCAGAAGGAGGTGGAGCTCAAGAACCGGATGCTGGAGTCTCTGCAGTCAGAGTATGAGAGCGTGAAGAAGCAGCAGAAGCAGCAGCTTGAAGAACATCAGGAACATCTGGAGAGGAGCCACAGCGTGGCCCTCAGTGAGCTCCAGAACAAGGTAGGACATCAGAGGCCCGGCGCTCTGCTGCTGGCGCTCAGGTCCAAACACGGTTCTGTTCTCCTGCGGTTCAGGTTCTGAGGCTGCAGTCCACCCTGGAGGAGTTCCAGCTGAACGAGAAGCAGCTGACGCACAAGCTGGAGCTGCAGGCGGAGGCGCTGAGCAACAAGATGGAGGAGCTGAGAGCCCTGGAACAAAACACCCAGAGCTCCATGACCTCAGAGATGATGGAGGTCCAGCTGAAGGCCACGGAGCTGGAGAACGCCAAGGTGAGGCCCGGTGGGCGGAGCCTCCCGCCGGAAGCAGCGGTGGCCTGACGTTTGCTCCTCTGGTCCAGGTGGAGATGGAGCAACTTCTGCAGGAGAGCCTCTACAGGGAGCAGCAGCTGGAGCTGAGCAGGAGCAGCCTGCTGAGACAGCTGGAGAGGAGCAGGGAGGAGAAGGAGGAGCGGGAGAGGGAGGCTGTGAGCTGGTTCAACGCTTTGGAGGTGAGGAGGAGAGGGAGGGAGGGAGGGAGGGAGGAGGAGAGGGAGGGAGGAGAGGGAGGCTGTGAGCTGGTTCAACGCTTTGGAGGTGAGGAGGAGAGGCAGGGAGGGAGGGAGGAGGAGAGGGAGAGGGAGGCTGTGAGCTGGTTCAACGCTTTGGAGGTGAGGAGGAGAGGCAGGGAGGGAGGGAGGAGGAGAGGGAGAGGGAGGCTGTGAGCTGGTTCAACGCTTTGGAGGTGAGGAGGAGAGGCAG